AAAGGAGGGGGGGGGGGGTGAAGCATTCTGGCATCACATTAAAAGCGGCACATTATATTGAAAAAAATGCACTTGGTGACACTAAATTACAGAAATTTTTAACATTATTATCTTATACAAAAAAAATATGATTATTATTTTATTTTCAAACTACGATCACTGAGGGAATCAGTACAGGTATTCGATGTCCGAGAAATTGCCTCTGATCACGTTACAGGTCGACATGGAGAAGGACAATCGGGGTGTAGTGACTTTGATGGTCATTAGAATTTATGGAGACGGGAATCTTAGAACTGGGGGCTACCATGTGAAATAAGATGGAACGAAAAATGTTGGACTGGGGTTGGAGGGGTTGGGGGGGGGGGTTGTTTTTAGTAAATCTTCAAGGCCAGGGCTTCTGAAAAATTTTCCCATCTCAACTTCCAAACATTGCCCGCAACCCTTTACCCCCTACCATCTAAATTAAATTGTAACACATTTTTTTAATGAACATAATTAAATAACTTATTTATTTTAATTTTTTTTTTCAATTAACTTTCTATGTACAAGAATTTTTTTTTACCAATACCAGCAAGGCTCAAACAAAATTTAAAAGACGACCAAAAACTATTCACTGCTGGCAGAAACAACTAGCTATGGCAGAAATGAAATTTATTTTTTGAGTCTTCCACACTTTACCCCCTGTTTAAGAACCACGGTTCTAGGAAGATAATTCTGACACAGGTGCGGCAATTCGATATCCAAGGGAGGTGAATTTGTAAGGGTTTGTAAAGAACGGTGGTGGACAGATTTTTTTTAAGGTTAAGCGGGTGCCGAGTATTTGATTGGGGAAGGTATGGTGGGGGGGGGGGCGGGTTAAAATTGGCAAAATTTGGAGGTGTCATTTATGGATGACCCCTAAACCTAGTGACCTAATCCTTGTGACCTAAACCTAGTGACCTAATCCTAGTGACCTAAACCTAGTGACCTAATCCTTGTGACCTAAACCTAGTGACCTAATCCTTGTGACCTAAACCTAGTGATATAATCGTAGTGACATAATCCTAGGGACATAATCCTAATGACATAACCAGTGAGCAGGCGATTTAACACTGTTTACAATCAACTGTATTATTTGAACAAAAACCTTGAATAAATCACAAACCACTGGGCCGTTACAGTTTTTTTACTTTATTAAACTCATCAAGATTCCAGTATTTAACGATGATGAAACTAATAATATGAAGAATAATTGAATTTAAAACAAAATAAATGCAAGAAATGGAAAGATAAATTAAACGATTTTGGTGAAATTGTTTGTTGATTGAGAACTGTATGAGGCTACATAGATGACCTCATTATGCCTAAACGTCTTGTTGTCCTGTCTTTTGATTCAAGCTTCAACATACCTTGTTTTACTGAAATATTTCAATCCTCTTAGGAGGTCGAGAGTCAATCTCTTAGGACCCCGGCCATGGAACATGGCCCAGTAGTCCCTAAGGACTCCGGTCATGCAACACGGTCTCGAGTAGGGGGTTGGTCAGTTTGCTTCCACTCATTTAGGGGACAGTTTTGCGTCACCACCCCGCTTGCCCAATGAGTCTTTCGGTCTGGACGTTGGGTTGGAATGGCTTTGCTTCCTCTCCGTGGAGAGGTGTTGCGTTACCTCACCCCACCGTTCCGGGAGTAGTTCGGGCGGGACTGTGTCGGGACGAAACGGTCACCTAGGAGCGGCTTTTTCAAGGCCGCATGTTTTTAATCCTCAGATAAAGGTTTTGAAATTCCCAAGGCTCATATCCATTATCGGCGACACGTAATCATGTTAGCACGCAACTTCCGTTGCGTTGGAAGTCATGCGTTTTTGCGTGGATCCATTGGCTTCAGGAGTTTAACTCCCTACTAATCTCCCACACCGCGCAGAGGTAGGATCCGTGTGACACCGCCGCGAGCTTGGCGATGCGAATTTTCTGACTTAGAGGCGTTTAGTTGGAAACTTCGGAGACCATGTGTTACTTCTTCATTCCAATAGCTTGAATGCAGTCCAATTATTGTCTATGTTCTCTCAGCAAAAGTGGAGGTAAATGAAGGGACTGTGTCAGCTAAGTCGTTTGCAGATAGCATCATGATTTTTTTTCCCCCTCTCGGCGCAAGACTAGTTTTGATTCAGTGAGAAGATTACATAGATTTCTTAGCATGGAGCAAGGGAGTATATTTATAGACATGGGGTGACGGGTGGCCGAGTGGTGTAAACTTAGCCAATCCCAAGCTTGTGGTCTAAGAGTTCGATAACGATCAAGTCAAGCAAAAACCATCACCAGCACCCCGGGTGGATTGGAGTCGATAACCTCTGATGACAGCCCATCCTAGAGAAGGAAACTCTGAATTCATACCCGGAGAAGGAGTCCGCCGTAGGCAGAGACATTCATACAATTAAAAATGCCGGAAACTCCTTCGACGCAACTGGTGCCAAAATGTATCATACGCATATGGTGTTCCCTTGGGCTATCCAGGTGCGTGGAGAGAGGCGATTGGCCGCCTGCGGAACCAGCTTAAAGTTTTTTAAGAAATAATCACAGGTGATTTCGTCCTGCGGAGTCTACACCATTGTCACACTGTGACGGAGAGCATCCATTGGAAAAAAAATTTGAAATGAAATGTATTTGAAGTATTTGTTACAATGAAGTAAGAAGCTTGTCGTATGTACAAGAGTCACGAATGGACACTAGGCAAAGAGTGAAAGAGTCATGGATTGACACCAGCCAATGAGAGCAAGAGTCATAAATAGACACCAGTAACGGAGTGAAAGAGTCATGGTACATACACTTGAGTCTGGGCGATTTTTAGGATCTTCTATAATTGAAAGTTTAGATTGGGTGATACATTCCTTTTCATATGCAGATAAATGTGTTTATGATTTATGAATTCAAAGATGGAGCCGAAGATTGTGTCATTGCATTTTGTATTTCGGCTTCAAAAGAAAATTTCATGTGCATATGATGCCCTTTTGATGTGTCCAAGAATCTCTGTCTTGCAAAGAAATGTAATATATATCCCTGAAAGTCTTAATTTTAAAATGGTTGTTAGTTACCTTTTAACCAGGCATTGATTTAAAGGGACTCGCTTTACTAAGCACCCCCTCACCAAAGCTGACAGTAAACGCTTAGGGCGATGAAGAAGAAAGTTACTATTACTAAATGCCTGATCATAACCCTAATTTTTTGAAAAAAAGGCTGTGCTATTGATAGATCAAGTTAACCAGTTTATTTCTGAATTAATTATGGTAAAAAGCAATTTTAAAAAAAAAAGTACATTTTGATTGAACGTTGAATTATTTACTTATAACACTATTACCTTTGACCTCTTTAACAGTATAATGCTAACTCGCTCCTAAAATTTAAAAAAAAAAAAATGTGACTAAAAATTGTGCCAAGTGGGTAGTAGTCTAAAAAAAAACATTTGAAAACCACTGGTTTCAGGGGGTTTAACTGATTATTTTTTGTGTTAAAGCAGCAAGGCATTGTGTTGTTCTCTTGTATACAAGAAAATAACATCCGCGGGCACGCCCCGTTGCACACGTGAATTGTCGTCCAAAGTAATATATATATACATGCTAGCAGAACCTACGCGGCAACGGTCAACATAGCTAAGATGTTCTCCCGCAGAAGACCCCCCCCCCCTTTGCCCGTTTTTCCCATTTCGGGCAACGAAAATGACCTTATCCTTTATTTTCTTTAAAGTCCCTGTTACGTACAGTTACTATGGATTTGAAGATAACACACGATTCTTTTTTTTTGATCCAAACAAATGGAAATGTAATCCGTGCTAAGATTTGTCTCGTAGAATACATCATGCGTCACAAATGACTGATAAAAACAGTATGCAAAGATATGGATACACCAATTTAATTTTCATTTGTATTGCCCCAGAAATACTCATGCGAATGCAGAAACAAAACAAAAAAAACACCAAAAAAAAAACTATATCAGATTATAGTTCAAAACAAAAAGTAAAAAGACAACTCGAACA